AAATTTTCTTCTCTAAAATTGTCTCCTTTCACCTCCTTTCTTGCTCTCTAGCAATGTTCTGTCGTCTGCTTTCCTCTCCTTTCTGCCCCCACCCCCTCATCTCCTTTTGCCCCCTCCTCTGGGCTCCTGACTCTTTCTGCAACCTTCTTATTGCTACTCTTTGGCTTCTTCTTACTTTCCGTTTTTCAGCCAGAACCCTGATCTTCTGATAGGAAAGATCTACACCTAGCCTTCTCGCACAAGGGCGAAAAATCTCGGAGGTCCCGTGTACAAGTTGCGCACGTTAAAGATCCCTTGGTGGTCCAAAATCGATAAGAGTAGGCTTCGGCCGCCACCTGGGCAAAATTCAAAATTTCCTACCACCTGACAATGTTCAATGTTTTCCGCGCGCTCATATTAGCTTATGCAGTTGCGTTCGCCACATGATAATTATAAACCCCACCCCGAAAAAAGATTTTTTTAAAATTAAAAAATGAGAACTCACCCCCCAAAAAAAAAAGAAAAAATTGAAAGAAAAAAAAAAGACAGCAGAGTCCTATCCGCGTCGTAGTTCTGCGTGTTTACCCACGTGTAGAAGAAGCGTTATACCACCAGTATCATTCCTGAGAATCAACAGAATGTGAATGAGCTAACATAACCCTGTGACACCAGACAGTTCTCCGGTCGTGCTTAGTTTTTGCCTTTCGGCCTAGCTTCAAGTGTTGTTGCCCAATACGGTATAAATTGTTTATAAATGTTACCGCCTCATACCCTTTACTGTAGGCGTTTGTTAGTATCAACGCCCAGTATTCGAAGCTCTGTGGGCTCTATAAATACGACAGGGAAGAAATCTAGATCTAGACACCAGCTGTCAAGTGAACTCGAGAACTGTGACTGTCCATCTATCTGGTCCCTTTTTTCTTTTTTGTTTTTGTTTTTGGTTTCACTTTTAAGGTTACTTGCTTGATTCTAGTGAGTTAATAAGGAGAAGCGACAACCGCCATTAAAGTATTAAATTGTAATAAGCAAGCGGGGTTCAGCAGAGGAAAAGTAAAGAAGTAGGATCCGTCTGTGACACCCTCCATCCATCTGCTGACTGGACTGACTTGTACGTTGTTGGAGTGACCAATATTTGGTCACTCCCTTCATCTGTGGCCGTGGTCGTTTGAGTTGTTGGGCTGTTCTTTGCGACGAGTCAGTCAGTGCCGGTTATTTTTCGACAGGAACAAGCAAGCAGGGTTAAAGTAATATTGAGAGACAGAAGTAGTAGGCCTTGAGCGTACTTTTACACCTACCCATCAAACTTCTGCTGTCTTCTTTAATGTGCTAGTGCTCATGGACCACGTCGTGTGTGGGTATGTACTTCTTTTATCTATCTGTTCTCTTTGATTTTTCGTGGTTCACATGTTATGAGTGAGTGGTTGGCGGCAGCTCTGGTGGGATTTGCTCCTTCTTCCCTATTGAGCATGCACCGTCCTTATCTCTTCTTATGAGTCTTTTTTTATCATTACTTTCTTGCACACCTCTAATCTTCGGCACTTATATAACCTCGTTGTGTTGCAAGTGCCGTAAAACTCTTACTGAAACTAAAGATGGTATAAAATTGTGTCCTTAAAGCTCTTGAAATCGGAAGCTGCTAATTTTCTATTGCCAGTTGGTCTAATATTGAGATGCTGTCGTCATTTTTACTGCCTCTGTTGCTGCTGCTGTGTATGTATGTGTGTTTATTGGTGTGTGTGTGTGTGTGTGTGTGTGC